TTCTTATGGCTGGGTAGGGACATTGAGATTCAGTACAGCTGGGTGAAGAGGAGTGCCAACTCATTTGCGGATGGGTTGGCCAAGCAAGAAGTGAACAGGGAGGCTGTTTTTTGGGCTAGTTTTTAATTTTTCTTTGCATTCCCTGTGTTTTCTGTTTTTGGGGAGCTAAGTTATTTTATCTCCCTTTGTATTCTTTTCCCTCTCTTCTCTTAATTTAATGAAGATGATGTTATTGATCAAAAAAAAAAAGAAATATCAGTACAGATCAAAATAGAAGACAACATCAAAGTGGTTTAGTGAGTAAAATATGTTTTGGGGCACAGGAAATGGAGAATCTGCTCGACAAGCAAAATAGCCTGTTTCAATCTGTCAATGTCCAAGAAGGCTACTACCTACTAGGGCTGTCCAGAAAAGCATATGAACTGACCAAACCAACCAAACCGGCCTGATTCAACCAGATTTGGTCAGCTCTCAAGAAAAATTGGTCGGTCCCAGTTTGAAAACATTCAAAACCTGGTTCTTCGGTTCAGTTGCAATTTATTTTGTAAACTGAAACCGAACCAATCTGACCAATTAGTTTCAATGTTTCAAATATTAGTGGAATACAACATATATTGACTTCACAATCTCACACTGGACCCCACTGGATCCCACTGGRCCCCACTATCAGCTTATAATAAATAAGCTGTGAGTGACAAAACTGCTCAAGTCACCTTTACTCGTTGGCATGCATTTCCCAATCTCAATTATGACATTCGGTCCCACCAAATCCTTTGTGTTATAATAAATAAGCTTTGACAGTTTGACTAATAAAACTGCTCTATCCCCCTAGTGCATTTGCATGCCATTATGACATTTGGGTATTAAGCTCTGAAACAGTGGCAGCCTGTCTATTGATTGTTGAATCTGCTTTTTGTTTAACTGGTTAAACCAACTGAACTGAGAAAAAAAATTCAAAATCGGTTTAATGGTTTTATAAACTTCTTGGTCAGTTTCAGTTTGTTAAGTAGATAACCAGACAGTGTCAGTTCAGTTGGTCCAAGTACATGAGACCGAACCAAACCAACCCATGTACAACCCTAGAGGCTACTTTGGCAAGAAGAGAAAAATAAAATTGCCCTTCACATGCTCAACAAAGAAGTTAAAGAATAAATCTAATCACTTGGCAAATTTGAGGTGAATGCAATGTTTAAATTTCATTTTACCTAAAGACAATAATATAAAGGATGTAACCCTAAAGGCTACTTTGGAAAGGAGAAAAATAAAATTGGCCTTCACATGCTCAATAAAGAAGTTAAAGAATAAATCTAATCACTTGGCAAATTTGAGGTGAATGCAATGTTTAAATTTCATTTCACCTATGTTGTCCAACAAAATGTATGGATGGCATGGTAAATACCGAAGGGATTAATATAAAGGATGTAACCATAAAATGCATGTGCTTTCCTAAAGACAACAATTGAGAAAGTAAGTCCCCTAAGAGGAAAGAGGAGCTGATCAAGAAGATGAACCAGCATCAAAAGTTGAGCCTGTTCTAATTAGATACCATTAGAACTTACTTCATCATAATGTTTCAATTTATTTTTTATGGCAGGACAAAAACACATTCAGGAAGCAATAACGTAGGTTAATCTTTCTAGAGTACAACAAGAGCACAATGAATCTCCAAATAAGAAAATGAGATGCATCCAGAGGGGTAAGCATACACCCTACAACTAACCATTTGCAAACCATGAATTTTGGTTTTTTCCTCATCAAACTCATTTCTCCTTGTTTCCCATGTTTCTATATGCTTCATATTTGAATGCCTCAGTAACTTGAACATAACCCATAGACCAAAATTGCAACTCAAACAAATTAAGCATAAATCATTGGAAAATTCTTCATACCCAGAAAGAAGCCTACCTATAAGGGTCCATTCCAGTTGTAGCAAATGCTGCAATTGCTCTAGCTATAATGTCATTGATAACTTGATTCAAATGCCGGGATAAGTAACGCCCTTGGGATGAAAAATAAATAACAAACTTCATGTCCAGATAAAACTGCACAAGTAACCACCACGTAAATTGAATGTAGGTTTTTCATCAAACAAATGAACACCATAACAAGTGTCTCACATTAAATTCATATACCTGTTGAAGGCCAAGATAACCCAAAGGCCTAGGTCCTTCCTCAATATCATCCCAAAAGCTTTGGTCATTTGAAAGCCATAACATAATAGTCTCTGTAAGTCTCATCAATAGCTGAGTAGAAAACCTTTCTCGGCCAACAAACATATCTGCAGCTATGCTTGATATCCTATTAAGTTTTGCAAAAAGATCCTGAATATTGGTAGCAAGGACAAAAAAAAGAATAAGAAGATTGGATCAGAAGCTTGTCATAATTAGTTTAGGAACATTGCATCAAAGAGGTTAGTCACAAAAAGCATGATCAGCAGTCATCAAATCTAAAACCATGATGTCAATTAATTTTGTAGGCACAGAAAGATATAAAACTACAATGCCAACCATTTTAGTATAAAATTACAGATACTGGAACAACTAAGTAGAAGACACCTTGAAGTAGTGGTGTTACGGCACAGATGAATGGAATTACTCATCTGTTCCTGATCAAGTGAGTAAATATCTCTCAATGTAGAGGAAAAAGGCTTAGATCAATTAGTTCTAATTGTCCTTCCCTGGCAATAATTTAATTCTTTCCTACAGAATCTGGTTAGGGGATTTTTTTTTTCTTTTCACCAGTATACTAGTATAGGATTTCTTCAGTAGATTTCCTTTCTTGATAAGATATCTTTGTTTTTTTTTTCTTTTAGATATGTGATGTATTGTGTCTCAAACAAAAGGAGACAAAGGTGCAATGTACTTGTCTTTATATGGTTCCTAACATATGACTAACGTACATATAAACAGCCTATAAAAATCTAGAAAACATTGCTTTGCCAACCATTTTAAAATTTTGAGAAAGAAGGATCACCAAAATTTGAAAGAATAGTCTAAAATAATATGAGATATTCTATCTTTTCAGTTATCCATTCTGCCTGGAACCTTATAGTTATGCTCCTTCCTAAATGTACAACAAAATAAAAATTAAGTTCCCCCTTCCTGGAGAATTCTTTCACCACCAAGCCTAACAAAATAGTTTTAAGTTTTCCAGGGTGAACCATTCTTTTCTATATAACTTTATAAAGTGCCATCAGATGTGGAAAGTGAAGGAACAGACAGGAGAACATGGGGCAAACTTCCCAGATATTGCTGGCATAATATGCATTCATCTGGTATGTCCCTACTATGAGATGGTATGATAACAATTTACTGCATCTTTTCCACCTACATGAACAAAAAGCATCCTTGCAGCAATATTTGATCCTTACAACCATCTCCAAAGCATGAGGAAATTAACACCACAAATGAGTAGCATGATCTCACTGTATAGAAACTATTGGGATCAGGGTCCCACAATTTCCTACCAGCCATATCTGCACTTTTCTTGCCTATTGAAGGGGTTGCAACAGTAACATAGTGAGTCAGCTCACAATCATTTAAATTGCATTTGCATTGAACACTCCACACTACATTGGTGGTTAGATCCCACTAGTCTTGTGAGACTACCTTCCACTTATTAATCCCCTCCCATTTCATCTATGAAATTTGGGACGTTTAACCTTTTGGGTGTAGGCGCACTCCTCCAAGCTCCAAGAAAAGTGGAAGTATTTGCTCTGACTTCTTTTTCTCACCCTCCAGAAGGAGGGGGAAGGTTATGTGGAGGTGCATAGGAAAATTATGCCATTGTCTGTTTAAGAGGAAATGAATGTTAGAATGTTCAATGAAAAAGTTCAATCCAAATAAGTAGTCATTAAAATATCTTGCTAAAGTGATCTATTGGATAAAATCCATAAGAATGTTTCAACCTTTTCTATGGATGTCATTCAGGGATGCCAAATAGTGGCTTCAGTGTCAAGTTTAAGGTCATATGCATTTCCACAATGGATATAACCAAACCCTTACCTCAAATTAAACTTGAAAGTGTTATCTTTGGGAGACGCAGGCATATTAGGTGTAGGTGAAGTCTTTGTAAACAGCCAATATTGCTGACATTGCTTTTGTTGAGGAAGTCGTTGGCAAATAAATTTTTTTTATCTATATTATTGGGAAATATACTAATAAACAAGAACAAAAGGGAGATCAACTAACTAAGAAATAAAATCATGTCTGTGTCTATGTGTCAGAGAGAGAGAGAAAATTAAACTCATTGATGTCTCAAGATGAAAACCAATCTATGCTCAACGGAAAGCAAGTGATAAGAATTTACTTTGGTTTGTTCTAATCCACGATCTACATTTGGTTAAGGAAGTAGGTCTTTGTTGCAGAGAGTAACTTGTGCCTCCAGATATCTTGTTTCCATCCAGGACACCTAGTTTGATCTGATCACATGGAAAATCCTCTAGTGGGCCCACTTTTATGGATAGTTTCTTTGCAAACCAAAATTGAGGTGGTATTAACATGGCTTTCTTTTCCTTTGGTGGGTGTGAGCACAACAGCTTTATTATTTTCTTATGGATCTCATTTAATTTTTCAAGTTTGCACAAAAGACTTTAAACTAAGAAAAAAAAAGTAAAAATTCATTGACCAACTTGATTCCAATTCCAATGCTACCAACAAAGTGCCAAGAAGCCCCTATCATCTCCAACCAAAGTGTTAGAATGAGCAAAAAAAATTTTAACAGCAATGGAATTGGAATTAGATATGTTTGTTCTCTGTCTTTTTTCTTCTATATGTTAGGTTTATAAATATTGCAGGTTTACATCCAAATCTCAGAAATTACATGCATTGGAAGCTTATTTCATTACCAAGATTTTTCTCTCTTAAATCAGATACACATACACATTGGAGGATTTATTATTTGGTTGAACTTCAGAACTAGTGGATTTGAAGGGTGCATAATCTCCAACTCCCTCCGTTACCAAATAAATAGAAAGCAAAAAAATAAAATGAATAGCACTGCACAACTATATTAGTTGCTCATTTTTAGGAGCTAGCGTTTGATACATTAGGTCTCTTCAAGCAGTGAAAATTATTATCTTGCTGTTAAAGTCGGCTAAGTAGGGCTATTCCAGTCCTTTTCCTCTTATTTATTGAATTGTGTTTTGTCCATTTTGTTTTATTTTAAGTTAAATGTCCCATAGTTAAGTAGGGCACAATAGACTTTGTAATCTTGCTGATCTATATATATTGAGGTCCGCTGGAGTGAGATAATCCTCTCTAGTTAGACATTTGTTTCTCTTCTCTTCTCTTATCCCTCTCATTCTCTTTCTCCTCTTTCCTCTCTAACTCAAGTCTGCAATCTGCCAAACCATTAAGACATGGTATCAGAGCCATAAAAAAAAAAGGGAAGGCAAGACTGGGTTGCGATCTGAGATTAGAGGTTGTAGAAGGCTGCGGCAGCCCTACTCTGGTATTCTGTGTGGTGGTTTGAACCCTCTACTGAGCAGTTTCAAGAGGGTTTTCACTGATTGGTTGACAAATATGATGTTGGTAGAGGTTGTGACTGAATTTCTATGATGAAGAAGGTTGATGTATGTGCCCAAGATGTTTTCCCTTGCTGTTTGGATGAGAAAGTGCTACTAAGTGGTGAGTGGACTGCTGTAATGTTCAGGTAACAGCAGTAGATAACATGATGGTAGCAACAAGAGAGAGTAATTGTGATCAGAAATCTAGTGTGATGGTTCCTCCTAATTATCTAAGTGTGCAGATGACATCAACTAAACTTGATAATGAGAATTATGTGCTATGGGCCAAATCAACGGAGGCTTTCCTTAGAGACAAGAAGAAGATGAAACATGTGAAGGATGAAAAACCATCAGCTGAATCTCCAAGGTTTAGTGATTGGGAGCAAGAAGATGCTCAAATTAGGACATGGTTATGGAATGGTGTGAAACCCAAAATAAGTACAAACTTTATATTCTTAGACACAGTCAAGGAAATATAGGGTCATGCTAAGAAGTTTCATTCAGGACAAGACAACAAAAGGGTGTTTGGCACCAAACCTTCCCATTGCATTATCAACTTTGGAGCCCCTGATCACATGACTAGGACGCCAGGTGTGTTCTCTTCCCTTTCTTATTACATAGGGGTTGAAGCGAATCGAGCCGAGCTTCGGCTCAGCTCGACTCAATTTAAACCAAGTTTCAAGTCGAGCTTCGGCTCAGCTCAACTCAATTAAAACCGAGCTTCAAGCCGAGCTCGAGCCTAGTGAAGCTCGGCTCATGAGGCTCACGAACCTAACATATGTATATATAATAAATAATTTTTATTATATATATAAAATTTTTATTTTTTTATATGTAAAATAAAAACAAATTTTTTATATGTATAATAATAAATATTATATAATATTTTTATTTTTATATGTATGATAGTAAATAATTTTTTGTATGTAAAATAAAAAAATTATTTTTTATATGTATAATTTCTATTTTTATAGGAAGCTTGGCTCGTAATCGAGCTCGAGCCAAGCTGAGTCAAACTTGAGAGCTTTTGAATCGAGCCAAATTCGAGCTCAAGTCTCTAGCTTGAGTTGAGCTCAAGGCTAGCATTGTTTTGACGAGCCAAGCTCAAATAGACAAGTATTCAACTCAGCTCGAATCCACCCCTATTAGTACATCACAAACTATTAACTTAGCTAATGGTTCTACCTCTCCCATTTAATTTGTTAGTAATGTTGATCTTGCATCTCTTTCTTTATCATTTGTTTTATCTATGCCCAAATTTCTATTCGATCTTATGTCTGTTAGCAAATTAACAAAGCCCCTTACCTGTTCTATCACTTTTTAACCTTCATCTTGTGTTTTTCAAGATCTTAAGACAGAGAAGAAGATTAGTGGAGGCCATGAAGCCGGTGGATTGTATTATCTTGATGGTGGTGGCTCTACAGTAGCACTTCAAACATCTTTAACTCCTCTCTAGTAGCAATGTAGGCTCGGTCATCCATCTCTCAAGGCTCTCAAGCTACTTGTTCCTTTGTTGAGTCGTCTTTCTTCTTTGCAATGTGAGTTGTGTCAGTATGGGAAAAATCATTGGGTTCCTTTATTCCTAGAGTTGATAATCCTATGTTGAGTTCTTTTGCTTTAGTCCATTCATATGTTTGGGGTCTAATTAGATTTGAGTCCTATAATGGTTACATATACTCTATCATTTTGTTGATGATTGTTCAAGGATGGCATGGATTTATTTAATGAAAGAAAGAAGTGAAGTACTCTATTTTCCAAAATTTCATGCTGAAGTTTGCACTCAATTTGGTGTTCCAATAAAAATTCTTTGCTCAGATAATGGAARAGAATACTTTATTACTTCATTTCAACAATATTTGGAGCAGCACGACATCATTCATCAAACTTCTTGTGTGTCCACTCCCCAACAAAATGGGGTGGTTGAACAAAAATTCATGATTTACTTGAAACAGTTTGGTCCCTCCATTATATGAATGTTCCTAAACGGTTTTGGAGTGATGCAGTACTTATAGCTTGATTTCTCATTAATCAGATGCCCCCATTCATCCTTCGTGATCGTTCTCCCTTTTCTATTTTGTTTCCCACTTTGTCTTTGTTTCCTTTGACTCCCAAGATATTTGTTCATAACCTAGGCCCTAGTTTAGACAAGTTGGATGTACGCTTTATAAACTGTATCATTCTTGGCTATTTGAGGACCTAGAAAGAGTATAAGTGCTATAATCTTATCACTCAGAAATCATTTGTTTGTCTTGATGTCACATTTTCTGAGTTTATGCTATTTTTCACGGGTCCTGATGCTTCTCTCTCTCCTCTCGTTCTTCCTCTTCTAGTTCTAGTCGATGATACCATTCCAACTATTCTTGTTGTGACTAAGCCTTCACCTCCTCTAGTGTGGACTCATATTGAACAACCACCAATCTTACAAGTGCACACTCATCATCAGACATCAGCCCCGAGTGTTGCCTCCTCCTTCTGACCTTGACCTTCCCATTGTATTGTGAAAAGGTAAACATAATTGTACTTTTCACCCCATATCTAATTATGTTTCTGTTTCTCACTTATTTACTTCCCATCACCAATTTGTTTCTCTTTTGTCATTCGTATCTATACCTAAGAATGTCTAGGAAGCTCTTACCTCACCAAGGTGGTGTCAAGCTATGAAAGAGGAACACTCTGTCCTTGAACACAATTACACATGGGAGCTCCCCACTTTTCCTTGAGGTGAGCATGTTGTAGGTTGTAAAGGATGCACACTATTAAATACTTAGCAGATGGCAGGGTGGAGAGGTTGAAAGCCAAACTAGTTGCTAAGGGTTATTCTCAATTGTATGGAATGGACTATGTGGAAACTCTCTCTCCTCTTGCCAAAATTGGTTTAGTTCGTGTTTTGATCTCATTAACAGCTAACTAGCCACTATTACAATTTGACATTAAAAATGCCATCTTGCATGGTGATCTTCTAGAGGAAGTTTACATGGAGTAACCACTAGGGTTTGTTGCTCAGGGGGAGGATATTATGGAGTGAAATAGTCTCCTTGGGCTTGGTTTGACAGGTTCAATTAAGTAGTAAAATATTTTGGCATGAGACAATGTCAAGTTGACCACTCAATATCCAATTATGATTTTGAGGCTAAGAAGATTTTGTTAGTGGTATAAGTAGATGGCATCGTTATAACTAGAAGTGATAGATTGGGGATTGATAGGTTAAAGGCCTTTCTACAAGATCACCACTAGACAAAAGATCTTGGAAAGTTTAAGTATTTCTTGGGTATAAAAGTTTCTAGGTCGAAGCAAGGCATCAATTTGTGCCAAAGGAAATATATTCTTGACCTACTAAAAGAGACAAGACTGTTAAGTGCTAAACTAACTGAAACACCCATGGAACCAAATGTTAAATTGAGCATTGATGCAGGTTAAATGTTTGATGATCCCAGAAGATATAGACGGTTAGCGGGAAAGCTAAACTACTTAACTATTACCAAACCAAATATATCCTTTGCTATTAGTGTGATAAACCAATTTATGCAAGTCACGAGGAAGTCTTGAAATAATTGGCTACACAGATGTAGATTGGGCTGGTTTAGTGTTTGACAAAAGGTCCACTACAGGGTATTGCACCTTCCTTGGAGGAAATTTAGTGACATCGAAGAGTAAGAAGCAAATTGTTGTGGCAAGAAGTAGTGCTAAAGCTGAATATAGAACCATGGCACACACTACATGTAAGTTAGTATGGTTGAAAAACCTTCTTCAAGAAGTTAGGTTCTCAGTGAACAACAATATGAAATTATATTATGACAACTAAGATGCAATCCACATCTCATCTAACCAAGTTTTTCACGAGCGGGCAAAGCACATAGGGGTCGACTGCCATTTTCTAAGGGAGAAAGTTCTTTCCAAAGTGATAAGCATTGAGCATGTGAGCTTAGGAAATTAGTGGACAGACTTGTTTACAAAAGGTTTGAGTTTGGGAAGAGTGGATTATTTATGTAACAAGTTGGGACTATATGACATGTACCCTCCAGCTTGAGGGGAGTGTTAGAGTTGGCTAAGTAGAGTTATCTCAGTCTTTTTCCTCTCATTTATTGAATTGTGTTTTGTCCTTTTTTTTTGATAAATGGTCCATTTTGTTTTATTTTAAGTTACATATCCCATACTTAAGTAGGGGATAATCTATATAATTAAGGTCGGCTGGAGTGAGATAATTCTCTCTAGTTAGACAATTGTTTCTCTCCTCTTCTCTTCTTTTCTCCCTCTCTTTCTCTTCTTTTCATCTAACTCAAGTCTGCAATTAGTTGAACCATTAAAACACTTGCTTTTCCTAATTTTTTTAGAATATTTAACCAAAACCTGGAGAAACTAGCTAATTCTTATGCATCAAAAGCAATCTGAAAATTATTGAAAATGAAGAAAAATCATATTTAAAGTTAATTGAGTATGATAAGTCAAGTTGCCAAAATAAGATGAGAGCCAAAATGAAAAAGAGTTCAAATTTGAAATACCTGAAATACTTGAGAGGGGAACCACTCCATTTCATCTGCATTCCCATCCATATGTATATACATGTCTGCACTTAGATGGGTATCACCATCTTCAGTAAAAATAAGATCAAGAGCATGCTGTTGACAAAAACTATCTCTTAGCCTATCAACAGAGCGCTGGAGGCGCCTCTTCCATTCTCTTTGTTCAGGGTGACGGTTTTGCCTGTCAGTAGCTCTTTTACGAGGATCATCCTTGATAGCAGACTGGTACAGTGGGGAAAGCTTCATGGCTGCACGTGGTAGCAGCTCATCTGCTAACAAAGATGCATTTGCTAGCAAAGCAATCTGCTGAGATTCAGTCTCAGCCATCCGGACGATTTTATTTCCAGAGCCTTCCAATTTTCCTTCTTCTACTGAAGCTGGTAATGCATTAATGAGTAAGCTCACATATGAGTTGAATACTTGAAACACACCTTCCAGTGTTCGACCTCCCAATTGCATACTAAGGAGTGGTCCTACATCTTCAAAGAAATCCTACAAAAGATCAATTGAAAGATGAAGCAAAATGAGCAAACAGGAAAAGTTCAAGTCCGTAAGTAATAGATAGGTAATAATAATTCCATATAACTGTTCAATTACAATTGTCATGTGACAAGGGCTATGGGCCACACTTGCTGTTCATGTAAATTTTAAACATACCCATGAATAAGGTACTGGCTATGCTATGGTTCTTATCTGAAATGAATCAGTAAGAAGCAAAACAGATCAGAAATTCAAGAGGAGATTTCAGAAATGTAGCGGCTGAATAGGAGAGGATTGTATCGTCTACAAACTGTAGGTAGGTGATTGGAACCCCATCCCTACCAACTCTCCACCATTTTATTAGGTTTCTTGAGTCTGCTCTGAAATCAATCTCCCCAATACATTTGCTACTAAGGTAAACAGGAAAGGAGAGAGAGGGTCTCCTTGTCTAGTACCCCTTAAAGCTGGGGAAAAAATCCACTACTGCTCCATTCACCAAAATAGAGAATTGACATGTCCTCAAACATCCCATCACCTATTTGCACCATCTTTCTCCAAAACCAAAGCAAACGATCACCTCTCTCAAGAAAGACCAATCCATCATATCATACACTTTTTCTAAATTGAGCTTACAAACCACTCCTTTCCTCCTTGACCTATTCAAATCCTCCACATATTCATTTGCTATCAAAATCTGATCCACAATTTGCCTCCCTTGCACAAAAGGCCCCCTGGTTAGATGCAATAATAGTGGGGAAGACTAGCCTAATCCTGAGGGATAGGACCTTAGCTATAATTTTATACAAACTATTCACCAAAATTATTGGTCTAAAGTCCCTCGGATGGGTGCCATCAACTTTTTTGGGTACCAAGGCAATGAAGGTGGAGTTCAGTTCCAGATTAATTACCCCTCTCCTGTAGAACTCATCAAACACTACAACAATGTCCTCCTTCAAAATGTCCCAACAGTCGTGGTAAAAAGCCATTGTGAAACCATCAGGTCCAAGGGCCTTTGATCTATCCATAGAAAAAACTACTTTTATTTCTTCCAATTTCTATTCTCTTTCCAACAACCTGCTGATCTCAATCTCTAATCTTGGCCACTCCAGTCCTAACCATAGTTGTCAAGGCGGCGCCTAGGCGACAAGGCGCCCTTTGAGGCTCGCCTCGCCCAATTGCCTAACAGTTTTCTACTTCCTAATATAAAATACTTTTTTTATTCTTTCTTCTTCTTCTTCTTCTTCTACTACTACCAATACTTTTTATTTTCTTCTTTTCCTATAACAAAAATAAGGGTTCAGCCCCTATATTTTTTTAATTTTATTTTCCTTCTTCCTTTTCATCACATGAATATGTTGATTTTCTATACTTTAATATGAAATTTATACTTTTCTTTATGAAAACCATGAATAATTATTAAAGAAATATGGTTATGGTACCTAGGGAACTACCCTAGGATCTATTTTTTAACATAAAAAAAAAATCCATCACCTAGGCGCCTGCCTAGGCGAGTAGGCGACTAGGCGCCCCCCAGTCGCCTAGCCTCGTCTTGGCACCTTGAAAACTATGGTCCTAACCACACTCTATCATTTAGAGGCCTTCTAAATAAGGATTTGAAATGATCCACAAAATCCTCAGCTATCTCATCCTATTGAGTTAGGGTTAGACCATCAACCTCCAACTTGGAGATGAAGTTTTTCATTCTCCGCCCACTTGCCACCAAATGAAAGAATTTTGTGTTTCTATCCCCCTCCTTTATCAATTTGCATCTAAATTTCTGCCTCCAGCTCATCTCCTCCTTAATCAAGATGACTCCCAGTTGTTTCCCCAAGCTCCACCTTTGCTCCCTCTCTCTTTCCTCAAGATTACCCCTTTTTGATAATACTGAACTTTACAGCATGAAACAAGTAATATATCCAATACCATAGTTCAACATAAACAATAAGAAGAAAAATTTGAAAGTCTCAACTTAAACAACTAATAATTTCAGTAAGCCAATCATGCTGGATATGTTATTCTCATTACAAACAAAACAGAAATATAAAGGTATTGTTTTCTTAAATAAGTTTTCTTTTTTTTTGTTTTGATAAGCAATTTTCCTAACTAAGATTGGTATCAATCAGCTTGTAAAGCCATATTGCAACTAGATATATGTTGTAATCAGTCATCAGTGCTCATATAAAAAGGATATAATCATGTAATCATTGCTCATATTAAAAGGATATAATCATGTAAAGGATGACTATAACCAAAAAAGCAAGGAGACAATGGTTTTAGGTGTGATGTTCTTTGAAATAACAACTAAGTACATAAGTGTCAATTGGGAGAAGAAATACTATCTAGTGCATGCAACATGCCATGCCAAGCAACTGACTGACTACACCCTTACTATTGTTAGGTAAGCATTTGATCCAGTAGAGAAATAATAATATAGTCAATTAGTTTAGGATGAAAACAAAGCATTTACCTGTACCATCGAATTGAACCGGTGGGCACTGCTTGAAAGCTTTTGGTGGAAAGATAATGCAGAACCAAGAGATGCATTTGAAGTTCTACCAGATTGACGTGTAAAAGCTGGAGGATATGCGAGCACCCAATCATCAGCAGCAGCTAGTGCAGCAGTGCTCTCTTCAATTCGTTTTAAATTAGCATCTAATGCTTGCTCAACACTAGGCCTAAAGAGCTTCAAGAGCACAGGACAAAGTGCCAAACCACGGACTTCCAACAATGAACAATGACCTAATGCTATATGAACACACTCTGCAGCAGCTCTTAGTCCACCAGCAGCTGCTGATGAGGCCAATGCATGCCTCTTGACAAGCAATGCAAAAGCCTCTGTTTGCTTCGAAGCCCACATCACAAGCTCAGATGTATATACTGTCTCCTTGCCAAAAACAGCCAAAGAATCACTTGCTGCCTGAGCAATGGCAGAGAAAACCAGCTGTGAGAGGGCAGCAGTATATGCTCCTCCATATGAGGTGTTTGAAGGACGAAGACTTTGCATATTATACTGAAATCTTTGGTAATGTGCATTGAGTAACAATGTATGAGCACGGGGACCATCTCCAAGTCTTTTAAGAGCTGAGACAGCTGCACGAAGCTCAACACCACGGGTAGAAGGTTGGCAAACAGCTTCAGCAAGCTGATCAGCTAACTTTTGCCTCCGTTCAGTAAGGGCAGTCTGTAATGAGATAATTGCAGCTGCACTCAGTTTTTTCTTCTCTTTTGCTTCTGCAACTACTTTTTCACCTTCATCAAGTGTAGCCAGAGCTTCATCCACTCTCCTCTCAGATAGCAAAACATCAAGTAGATCAGGGAACTCCACTGCCCATTTCTCTGTGTCAGAAGACTCCCTACCTTCAAATTTAGATATGCCATGTTCTGGAGAACCTTCAGAGAAATTGTTTGACAAAGTATCAATATTGACTCCTTCAGCTAAACTATGAATTAGAGCTGCCTGAGTAGATAGAAGGTTTCTGATGGACAAAAGCTCCCCCTCTAAATCTGATATCTCCTTTGATGTGCTGTGGATAAATGGAAATGGCATTATTCAGTGTCAAATGGTCATAACATACTGAAACAAGTAGAACCATTAACATATATTGGAAGAATTAATCCCTTGATTGAGAAGATACCAGATCTCCAGAAATGAAAATTTTGATTAGTAAACAATTCTTCGGGCAATGTTCTCAAAAACAGAAAAATGTATGTGATTCAAGTTATGCCTGCAAGTTTCAAACAATGTCCTAAAAAAAAGAAAAAAAAAAGTGGGAAACGCATGCCTAAATGTGAGGAACTGTAAAAAGGCCTTCAGGTGCAATAGAGAAGCATTGATACATTAAACTATAAAGCATAAGCTTACAGGTATACATGCATGTATGAAACATACACCTCATATAAGGTGTACACCCCTATTATGCACTATATGGAACACATGTGCTTCCAAGTGTTTCCTACTAACTTACTTTTATTATAAAATAATATAAAATTACTATTATCAAATAATTTAAAAGAAGTGTAACATCATTTTGTCTTGCTACTGGTTGCATGATATTGTAATTTAAAGCAACAAAAGACATGATGCTCAAGTCCCTCCTTAGTTGCAGAAAAGAAACAAAGTGGCTGTAAATGATGTTCAGGGTTTGCTGAGAAAGAAGTGGAGATGGAGAAAATGCTGAAGACTGAAMATCAAGTTCCTTAATTCCATCTAAAAACAGGTACATTTTCCTCTATCAGTATTCAGATCAAAACATTTAGATTTATCACTGTAAAGAGCTAAGTTTCAGGCGAGAAGTAAGAAAAGAAGGGAGAAGAAAAGAGAAGAGTAGAGAAAGTCAAGGCAGATTGAGGAGCTCAATCTGAGACCCCATTCTCTTTTATACTTAACATAAAAAGTGATGAATTTAGACCTCTGCCCCCAGCAAGGCAGCTGAACTTAACAATTAAACTTAACAATTAAATAACAAACATATAACAGACCCAGCCCACTAAGGCCCAGAACTAATAACAAGTAATGATATAACATACAACTTTCTCCTTTTATACGAATCTGATCAATCTTGAACTAAGGCTCCTTGAAACTGTGTAGTGATGGACAGGAGGTCCTTCTGTTTTTTTTTTTTTTTTATTAACAGGAGATTTTATTGATTGCCTTGAAAAGCCCAAAACTATCCAAGCTAGACAACAGGGAAATTATAAACCAGCCACAGGCTGAACATATAAAAACAGTAGAAATCTGCTGAATTAAAAAATATGAAAGAAAGTAGTTTCTTGAATAGAGAAGGAAGAAAGAAGGAGAGAAGTTGAGAGAAAAGAGAGCAATAATCTGGCCGCCCCTTCACTTATTATTTATACTAAAATAATAGAACAGTACAAAGACAACTATGCCCTTATAGGGCGGCAAAACATAAAACAGCATATATAACACTCGAAAAACATAATAAAATTTGGACTCACATAACTACTGTGGTCCCCACCTCCTATCTAACAACTAACATA